ACCTCAGAGTTCTTTGAGATCCTCTAATGGAAAGCTTTCTGTGAGGGTTAAGTGCTGTAATTATTATTGCTAATATTATTGTACCTGTTATGTGTGTTTTAAAGCTTAGTGTGATATTTACACCTAAATAAGGCTCCACGTCTCCTTCATTGTAAACACACTGATGACTCCAGAGTGCAATTCAGACCACCAAAATTAGACTTTTAATTCTGAAATTATTTTAATCAGAATAGCCTTCTGGAGATATAAGTCTTTTTCCTCTACTTCTAGAGAAAACAGCAAAGTTTAAATCCCATTCCTAAAGCTGGAATTAATCTTGCTGAACTTCAGAGATGTAAAAGTTAGGTGCCTTGGCTAAGGTGGCTGCCTAAGGTCTTTGTGTTTACTAGGGAAGGAGGGGAGATGGTGATGCTCCAGGCTGCAATTTCCAGACTGGGATTACCTTACTCTGAACAACTTGTCTCTGGCTACAGTGGTAGGGAGTTTAGGTGATGATGAGCTTGGAAGAACTTGCCTAAATTTAGGAAAGCTAAAGTAATGATTTAGAGTCAGTCTCATGGAATGGTTTGGGTTGGAAGGGACCTTAAAGACTCCCTAGTTCCAACCTCTCTGCCATGGGCAGGGACACCTTCCAATAGACAAGGTTGTTCAAAGCCCCATCCAACCTGACCTTGAACACTGCCAGGGATGGGGAATTCACAGCTTCCCTGAGCAACCTGTTCCACTGCCTCACCACTCTCAAAGTCAGTTCCTGTCCAATATCTAATCTAACTCTGCCCTCTGTAATTTTTAAGCCATTCCCCCTTTTCTTATCCCTACATGCCCTTGTCCAAAGTCCCTCTCCAGCTCTCTTGTAGCCCCTTTAGGTACTGGAAGGTGCTCCAAGGTCTCCCCGGAGCCTTTTCCAGGCTGAACAACCCCAACTCTCTCAGCCTGTCTACATAGATTTAAAGGTCTAAATTCCCCATTCAGGTTCTGCTAGCTAATATCTTTTTGTTTCCTGTGCATTGGTACACAGTGGTTGCAGTGCAAAAGTATGGTGCTTCTTATAGAATCACTGCTTTTAACCTATAGCTGAGATTTTACTGTTGATTCTCCCATTTTACTTGTGCTGCCATTATAATGAAATAAGGGATAATAGGAGCATGGATCTTACAACACAGTTTAGACCACTGAATGTCGAGATGTGGCTCTATGAAAAACATGGGAGCAGATAGCAGATAAGAAATTACTTACTTTTCTATGTTGCAAGCTTAAAATGAAGGTTGATATGTGTAGACATGGATTTTTGTGCATGTGACTTCTGATTTAGTTGTCCTGTGGAGTTAGTTTTAATGTGTAAAATAAGGGAGAATTGGACACTTGGGAACATTGACCCCAAACTGACCTCTGCTTCTGAATTCTTTAAAAATAAAAAATGCAGTCTTTCCCTCCCCCTATTAATATTAAATGTAAACAGCTGGATTTTTCTGCTGGTATTTACTAACTTTCATCTTTGCCTTTTTCAAGCATTTATTGCTTTAGAAGTGAATTATAGCTTATCACCAGGGGATATGTACATCTTCCACATCTTCCAGCTACCTTTGTTGCCTTTTTCCCAACCTGGAAATTAAACTCGAGATAATTTTAGTAAGGAGATAATATAAGAGCGGATCTTTATTTGAAGGCCTTCAGTGGCACTTATGGAAAGATGTCCACAAAAGCCCACCCCCTCCAGGGATGAGTACATATTTATAGGCTTTAGGAAATTAGCATAATTGATAAAAGGCACCAATTAGGAGGACAAGTGGTGATGCAATTTCCCCCCAGGTCAAGCCCCTTCTCTGGAGTGTCCTCTTCGGCAGTAGCTGTACTTCGTCCATGAAAATGTATCTTGAAGACTTGTTTTCAACCTTGTTTCTCAGGAAGAACCAAGATAGCATAGGGGCCTTGTACCCCCCGGGGCTTGGAACTCTGGAATTTGTTTTGTATTTCTGCTTAAGGAAAGGTCATGGAAAAGTACTGGGAAAACTAGTCACTAATACAATAGACTACATAGCTACAAATATATGTGCAAAGAATATAGAAAACATAGGAAAAAAAGGCAAAACCCAAGCTGGCATCACCTTGGCTTCTCAAAAGACACGATTTTTCTTAAACAGATTGTTTAAATTACTGATAAGGGAACCTCCTAATTGTGTTACATTGTTTTGATTCTGGCATGGTTTGTTTTGGTCTGTTTTTCTATTTGTTGAAATCCCATTACAGTAAGTAATTGCAAGAAGTGGCTCTATTGCAAAGAAAAGATTATAAAGTTCCATTTTGCTTGTAGTTAATCCTTTTACCTTTTCAACCTGAAAGCATTTTTTCACTTTATTTCCAAGCTGAAGCCAATCTTCTTTATTACTTGGTACTACACATAAACTTTGCATCATGTCACAAGATGATCACATAGTTGGCTAGGGAAGTATTATTTATTTCCAAATTTAACTGCTCCTGTCCCATCCTTATAGCACTGAAAATGAAACAGGTTTTTGGGAACAGAGGATTTTTTTATATGCCTTTTCTGCAACTTTTATCTAGTTCTCTGCAACTTATTGTTTGGGCATTTTTAAACACACATAGGCACTTATTGCTTATTTCTTCTTTTATACATGCTGAGAATCCAGGAACTTGCAGCATTGTGGCTATTGTCTTTGTTGGTCATTTACTTGTGATAGATATGGTTAAAACTGGTGTTGGGCCCTTATGTTTTCAAATGTGATTCTGAAAGACAAGGTTGAGAAAAAAATAGATCTCTGGTGTGATTGCTTTGTAAATAAGCAGCTTGTTTTTTTCCAGATTGGTAAATTGGTGGCTCTTACACTGACAGATGTAATGACAGTATTTAAATTATATTGAAAATATTTTTGTCTATTTGATGTATACTAAATTGAAGTGGAGTTATACGGTGTTCTGTTTGGAAGTGTGGAAGATACAAGAGTGGAGCTACAGATAACAAGTTTATGCTTGTACTTCCTACTGATGAAGACTTTCACACAAGTTATTTCTATGGGTAGGTGATGAGAATATCACTCTGCATGTATATATATTTATAATACATTTTTGCATGATTATACATGTAGGAGTGGTACAATTTTGACTTGAGACTATTAGTGCCTTTTGTCCCAATGCAATTTTATTTGTGTAGACATGTCTATCTAAAAATCAAATTTCATTTCTGCTTTTGGAGATCTGAAGAAGAAGTGAGACAAAGACCTGAAGGAACAGTACGTAGCTCCTGAAATTTTAGATAACCTATTGAAAAAATGGGCAAATAGTCAATATTGTACTTGACCCTCGTATCTTCTCCACTCGACTGTTTATTTTTATAGCTCATGTTATATATGTTCACACTGAACTGTAATGATAATACTGAAAGACAACATGCCTCTCTGATTCTGTCCAGTTGTGGCTTATGCATGTAATTTAATCATCGGCTGTCACAAATAATTAACTGAACATCAGCCAGCTTAAGTTTGAACTTGGTCTTCCGTTATTTTGTAAGTCTTTTAAAAAGACAAAGATTGCCTTTCAGTTAATTATCATGACTTATTTTCCAGTCATAATCATCAGTTTTTCATGTTGCAAACAGTTTGACCTTTAATACATTGTCATTTAACTGCCCATTTATTTTTGTGAGGTCTGTTTTAAGTTTCTAATATAACATCATTTTATGAAATTGTTGATTTGGAGGCAGGTCTGATTTGAAATATTTTGTGAATTTCTTCATACCTTGTTGCCATACTGATCTTTAGTATGACTTAAGTGATATGGTCACTCTTCAACGAAGTGTGTTGCTGATCACAAAATAGGCACTTCTGAAAATAGTGAGTTGAATTATGTTTCAGGCACCAAGTTACAAAAACCCAAACTAAACACAACCAAAACAAAAGAAACCCCACCCTAAAAACCTCAGGAGAAACAGCTTTTAAGAGAATTAAATTTGAAACTTTTTTCTATTTAATCCTTGATTTTGTTGATGAAGCCTTGGCCGAAAGAGTTTTGATTGCCTCATTTGGAGAGTGGGAACTCCAGCCACTTTCATCCACTATGAGTCAATAAGCTGTAGCTGGGGTGAACCATTTAAGTTAAACTGCACATCCTTTCAGAATTATTTTTCCATTCTCTCTGCTTCTACATTAATCTTTGTCTTGAATTTGACTTTTTTCTGAGCCTCTTCTGTTTCTAGCATGTTTTCCAATTATAAGTGATTTTCATTCATTACAAAGAATATAGTTGGTCCTAACAAAATAGCTTTTTGTTATTCCTCAAGAACAGATTTCAGAATCTCATAAGCTATTTTCTCTCCCTCTTACCTTCTTCACTTTGGTGACCAAAAATGCATATGGTAATCATATTGAATTAAAAGCACATTTATCACTGCATATGATAGTTTTGTTTCTTGTTATCCTTGATTTTAAAAAAACATCACCAAAAAACATTGCTACTTTGAAAAATTCCCTGCCCTTGACAGGTAAATGTTATGAAAGGAAAGTTGCCTAATGTTAAATTTATTGTCACTGGATCAGTTATATCAAAAAGTTAGTCTTATTCAATCAACCATAATGTAATGTAAACTTTCACTTGACTTTTGTAAAATTCTCTAGATATTTTGTCTTGCCAAATTTAATGTCCTGTATCTTATTATTTTTATTTGCAACTGAATCTTTTTAAGATTGTAAATATAATGTCATCAGATATGGAGATGTTGATGCGTTAATGTAAAAGATAATACACAAATAAGTGATAATTTCATAAATGAGTTTTTCTGTGTATGCAAAGGTTAAAATGTCTCTGTAATCTCAGACTATGTTCATTAACTGAAGTTTAATGATTCATATAATGAATGTATCACTATAAACCATAAGCTGCACGTAGGAGATGGTATTAATCCTTAAATTACTGTTCTTTGTACTTTTAGAGGGGGTTTTCACAGTATGCAGACTTCTAATGTGTGTTGTTTTTCTCTACTTCTGCAGATGGACCTCCAGTTATAGCTCACTATGATATATCAGACACAAACTCAGATCCAGAAGTGGTAAATGTGGACAATCTGTTGGCAGCTGCAGTAGTTCAAGAGCACAATAATTCTTTAGGAAATCAAGACTCAGGATCTACCTGGAGAACCAGAGGGCCGCTAGATGAACTGAGTGCTGATACAGGTTTGGTTAAATTCTCTTCCTCTGACATTTGTTCCAACATCTCAGTAGGTATCTCTCTCTTTCTTGGTTTCAGTATTTTTATAGTTTATACAGCTTTAAAAGCTCCCTAAGTGGATTTTTCAAAAAAAAAAACAAACAGTACTGGTGCTTATTAAAAAGGTCTGACATTTATTCCAAAATATAATTCATAAAAATTGACAGATTCCTGCAATGTATTTTTGACACTAATTTTCTTATTTATTTTTTCTCCTTTGTTTCCTTCTAATTACTGTTTGGAACTTAGGTCTGGGGTTTTGGTGTTGTTTTTGGTTTTTTTTAATGAAAATGAGCTAGGCTTGTTACTGAATGATTGATTATGATGACCCATGCCACCAGCTGTTAAACTTGTCTGCTAAAGAAGAGGTTGGAGCCTAGGTTCTAAGGCAGAGTTAGTTTATTTCAGCTCAAGCTGGGTGCCTCCAGAGATGGACCCTGAACAAAGAAATTCCTGGACCTTTATACCCTTACAGTCTGTGCACCCGATCTTCACACACCCTGCACGCATCTCTTGGTCCAATGGTGATTTATAGTCTGGGGTCTTCTAACACATCATTGGATTCTTTCCCCATGTCCACATGGGCAGGCCATTAACTGCTCTTACCTTCCAGCTTGGGTCAGCCTTGGGGGCTTCCAGGGTCTCAACCCTTATCTGAACATATTCAGCCTTTCTGTTTTCTCCTCTGTTTAGCCATCCATGCTAACAGAGTTCATTTAAAGTTCACTGTTCCTAAGCTTTAAACAGGGTCCACTCATGCCAAGCTGTAAGCAAGTTACAATTAAACTTAAACCTATACAATTAATTTCTGATATTTCATATTTAAATGTAAGCTTAATTTGATCCCCAACAGGTGATAATCTAAGTATTGGAATTGTCTGTATCTTTTTTTCTTTCTCTCTTCATTTCTTTAAAATACAAGCAGTAAATCTTCCCATATACCTTCTGCACCTTAGAAAATCGGACTGACCAGCATCAGATAAACATGAAGGGTAAAAAGGTGCTGGTAAGTGAGCTTAGCATTTTATTGGGTTTGCATAGCCTGGTTTAGGTAGTGAGGGGGCTACAGGGATGACTTCTGTGAGAAGCTGCTAGAAGCTTTCTCATTGTCTGGCAGTCAATCCCTGGCATCTCCAAAGATGGATGTGCTGCTGGTCAAGACTGGGCCAATTAGAAATGGTGGTAGCACCTCTGTGATAACATGTTTAAGAAGAAAAAAAAAAGTTATCATGCAGCAGTAATTGGGGCCAGAGAGGAGCGGAGTGAGAATATGTGAGAGGAGCAACTATGCAGACACCAAGGTCAGAGGAAAAGGAGGGAGAGCAGCTGCTCTAGGCACTGGAGCTGAGATTGCCCTGCAGCCTGTGGCAAAGACCATGGTGAAGTAGCTGTCACCCTGCAGCCCATGGAGGAGACCCACGCCAGAGCAGGTGGATGCCTGAGAGGAGGTTGGGACCCCGTGGGAGGCCCGTGGAGAGAGGAGACCCCTCTGGAGCAGTCTGTTCTTGATGGACTGCACCCTGTGGAAGAGTGATCCATGCTGCAGCAGTTTGAGGAGTACTGTTGTCCGTGGGATGGACTCGTTGCAGCCTGAATTGCTGCTAGTAAAGTCCAGGGTAAAGAAACAAAAAGGGCCTTTGCATAATATCCATAGATGTTTAATTCAGCCGTGCCATGAGATGTTCAGGTCCCAGGCGCACCCACACCCCGAGGGTCCAGCTCTCCCCCCCAGGGGCCTCCCGGGCTGACCTTGGTCTCCAGGCAGTATCAAGGTGAAGGCCAATCAGGGAAATGGGAGGGAGTGGCTCAGGAACACCTATGTTCAGACATAGGAACAGGGGAAGGAGCCAATGGGGTGTAACTTAGGAGATGCCCCCTCAGGGCTTCCACAGCTCCCAGTTTTTTATATTATTAAGAAAGCTTCTCTGAAGGATTAACTGAATCAACACAAAATGACAAAAACAATCAAAAGCGCCCATAAGACAATTTTCAAAATGCAAACAATTCTGAGTCCTCAATGTCCAAAAAGATTTTCTGGAGTGTCTTAGAGCTGGCAGGAGGGATGCGGGGTTTTCTTAGCACGGTTTATCAGGAAACTGAGTCAGGAGAAAGTTTCTTTAGCAGGGGCTTTGTCTCCTGTGGTAAAGTGGTTGGCTGTGATAGACTCTGTACAAGGTAGCGTAGGTGGTGGTGTGCCTGTTGGAAACTCCAAATAGAAATCATTACTTTAGGAAAAAGATGGTTACTTTAGGGAAACTTTCCTTTCTTTCCCTTCTAATCACGCTCCCTCTGGTCTTATGAAGGAACTCTGGAGAAAGGGATTAGTGGAGGGAGACCATGGGAGAGGGGAAAGGGTGGTAGGAATTTGTGGGAACATAAAAAAGGGGTAATAGGACAATGGAAAGGAAAAGGGGAAAGTGGGAGGGGGGCAGGAAGGCCACAGGAACTGGGGAAGGGTATTAGAAGAAGTGGGACTTATTGGACTGGAATGTTCTTTCATTATCGACATGGGCCTTTGGATGCAGGACAGCTTGCCAGTGTCCTGTGCTCTTCTTGCTTTTAGACTATTGCTGGTGCTTGATGGTTGTTGGTTTTGGGTTCTATTTCCTTGGTAGGTGTGTGGAGGACTTCTATGATGTGGATAATATTTTGCAGGTTTGTAGTCTGGTGCATGTTTACTGCCTTGCACTGGAACTCCACTAGGTCCTGTCACATTGGCTGCTTGGGGGCCTTTTCTTCCTTGTATTATATTAAATTCCACAATTTCTCCATCTCCTAGACTGTGGAGGTATTTCTTGGGATTATTCTTTTTTATAGCAGTCTGATGAACAAACACATCTTCTTTGATATCATTCTGGGTTATGAAACCGTATTTGTTTTATACATTGAACCATTTTACTGTCCCCAAAATGTTCATGGCAAGGATTTTTTTACCTTTGCCAGTGGGTTTGTGTTGGTGTTGCTGGACATGTTGCTGGTGCTGGTGTGCTGCTGTGCAAAGTTTGTTCTGCTCCCGGTGCTGGTGGCCGCGCTCAGGCTCGGCCCCCTCTCGGGGGTCTGTCTCACCTGGTGCTTGCAGGCACTGCCAGTGCGGGGCTCTCAGAGCAGTGACGGTGGGCGGGGGGCTGTGGTTTTGCTGCCAGGGCTGCAGCTCTGAGCCATCCCCCAACGGAGCTGTCTGCCTGCCCCGTGACAGCGGCGCCCGAGGTCCGCCGGTCTCGCCCACCTGCCCTCGGCCCCTGAGCAGCAGGCTGCTGCGGGATGGGCTGGACAGCGAGTATCAGCCGTCTCGCTCTGGCCTTGCTGACCGCCGGCGGGGCGGCTGAGGGTTTTCTGCAGGGGGGAGAGCCGCAGCGGGGCACGGAGCGGGGGCAGCCCTGTGCAAGGGGATACGGCTCTTTCCACCCCTGCCACGTCTTGCCGTGCTATAGAAACTGAGGTAAACACGTCCATAGGAGGAGGCGTGGGGACCAGAGGGCAGAACGGGAGACCCTGCGGCCCCTGCAATGCATTCTCCACCATCTTGGGCAGCAGGAGTAGAGATGGGAGAACCTGGGGGAGTCTTTCCTTGTGACAAGGGAGGGGGTGCAGGGGCACGAAGAGGGGAACATGGAGGAGGGGTTTTCAGCTGGTGTTCATCCTCAAGATTCAGAACGCATTTCATCATCATACTAAATAAAGGATGGAATTCTGTGTTAGTTTTTAACCTTTCCCAAAGTACTTCCAATAATTCATCGGTTAGGACTAAGTTCCGCGAAATATAAGGAAAATGCTTAAATAACCACTGTACAAAATACTTCAACTCCTCCTCTGAAAAGCAAAAATTTTCTTGAAGAAAAGACTTTTTAAGGTAAACTTCTTGTTGTGTGTGGGTGAGTGTTGTCTCCATCTTAGCCCAGTCTCTTTCCAACACCCGAGAGTACCAGGAGGAAGGAACCAAAATTTCAAACTCACCACACTGGAGTAAGGAAATTCTCGGGGTGGTCTAGTGCAGATGTTTTCCAGGAGAAGAGGTCTCAGACTAATCCAGAGGCCTTACGTTGGGCGCCATTTGTTGCAGCCTGAATTGCTGCTAGTAAAGTCCAGGGTAAAGAAACAAAAAGGGCCTTTGCATAATATCCATAGATGTTTAATTCAGCCATGCCGTGAGATGTTCAGGTCCCAGGCGCACCCACACCCCGAGGGTCCAGCTCTCCCCCCCAGGGGCCTCCCAGGCTGACCTTGGTCTTCAGGCAGTATCAAGGTGAAGGCCAATCAGGGAAATGGGAGGGAATGGCTCAGGAACACCTATGTTCAGACATAGGAACAGCGGAAGGAGCCAATGGGGTGTAGATGCCCCCTCAGGGCTTCCACACTCATGTTGCAGCAGTTCACAAAGAGCTGTTGCTCATGAGATGGAGCCATGTCGGAGAAGTTCGCAGAAAGCTGTCTCCTGTGGGAAGGACCCTACAGTGGAGCAGGGAAACAACTCCTCTCCCTGAGCAGCGGGAGAAGCCACAAGTGATGAAATGACCATAACCTCCATTCCCTGTCTCCCTGCATCACTGGGGTAGGAGGTAGAGCCAGGAAGGAGGGAGGGGTGATGTCACTGTTGAGCAAGAAATGACACAGATTCACAAGAAGGCTGGTTGGCACAACAACAGCTTTAATACGAAAAACTCTCTTCTTTTATAGACAGCTTTGACACATTCTATTTGATTGGCTAATTAACAAAAACATCTTTCTCACAGTCATTGAGAGGACCAGAAAAACAGAGTAGGAAAACACTACCTGCAGGTTGTTTATACTAACAAGTTATCATTGTTTCTCTACAACTCCCTAAAAAGTCTCACAAGTCCACTGTGAGAAAAGGAATTTAGTTTTCTTGCTGTCTGACCAGGCTGTCACATCCACAGGGTGAGGGGAAGGTGTTTTTAAGGTTTTATTTTACTTCTCATTATCCTGCTCTGATTTTGTTAGTAATAAA